GCGTACGTATGACATCAACTGAAGTGCGGTTCGATAGTAGACAGTGTCGGGGGCGTTGTAGCTGCAGCAATTGTCCACAATTTGGTTAAAGTCTTTCTCCATATCTGCCACGGAGAGATATTCGTGATCTTCCAGCTTCTTACGCATGGTTGAAAAGTCCATGGGTTCTTCAATGACTGAATAGTAGTCGGGGGCTATATCTCGGCTGACTGGCTCAGCAAAGATTCGTCGAGAATCTTTTGCCTAGCAGAAAAAGTGGTCAATGAGATTCGATAAAATTATTCAACTAAGAAAACTGGGCAAATCGCTGTTATAAAGGCTAAAGAAGCCGTTCGTGTAAAACTTCGGACGCTACCTGTACTTTTATGTAGTCTCTAAATAGGTTATTATTTACGTCAAATTTGCCAGCATCGAGATCAAGGTTAGAGTTGGTGCTAAGATCAGGGTAAGTGTTAGAAGTCGAGTTATTTTCAGTGCTAGGGTCGCCAGGCTTGGGTTATGGTTTGGATTTTGTGTCGGTATATGGTTTAGGGTAGGGATTGGGGTTAGCACTAAGCCTATGGTCAGGGTTTTAAGGATTGGGCTAAAGTTACGGTTACGTTCGACTTATTCTTAAGGGTCTATGGGTTATGAGTTACGGTTGCCCGTTACAGGTATGGCGATGATTGGCGTTAAGGTTGTATTTAGCTACAGTTTTCTGGGGGGTTCCATGTAATACCCTTTCCGAACTTGGAATCCAAAAAGCACTCCGCGTCGCCATAAGGGAGCACCCGCTGGTCTAATGTACACAGTGTCATGCCACAGCACCAATCGTAAGATAACCGGGACATCATGCTGTGATAAAGACCACAGAAAGCTGCAGCGGTCAATGACGCCCACCGACACGTTTTAGCCTGAATTATTTTTTATTGTGAGACGAGTGATGCTGAAAATTGCGAGGTGTACTGCACCAATGGAGACCAACTGATGATTTGAAGACACGTAGTGAACACTGAATAAATATCGAAGCAGGTCCTGATGATCGAAATAGATAAGCGAAGGGAGGAAGTACGGTACCTGTAACTTTTCAAGAGTTTTTTTTAGAAGAGCCATAAGTGGCCTCAGACGAAGTTCAAACTGCTGTTGAGTGAGGCGGAAGAGATCGCGCTTGACCCTTTCCCGTTTCCGCGTCAGTTCAGAGAGGAGGCGCGACCTTTCCAGATCCTGTCGCAGTCTCTGCCAGAACAGCAGCTGACTTCGCATCTTCTGCGCCTCCTCATCGCCAGCGGCAGCTGCAGCAGCCTGT